TTTTCACAACAATTTAACGGGAGCAGCCTATCGTGAACTTCTAGAAAATCAAGTTTTACCCGATATAAGACAGCTTTTTACAGAACAAGAAATAATACTAATAATGTTCGACGGATATTGCAGGAAAATTTCGGTAACCGCATAATTTAAAATAGAGGACCAGTATTGTGGCCTCCCCGCTCGCCTGATATAACCCCTCCAGATTTTTATTTGTCGAGTACGGTGAAAAATGAAGTGTGATTTTGAAAGCTCGGAAATTATTGACATTTTGGAATCAGCTCAGTTAGGCGTAGATGCCAAAAATGTATTCAGCCAAAATGAAGGTCATATTGAACAATTTTATTAAATCTTCTTACTTCTTTACTGTTATTTTTTCTATTATGTTAATTTGCTGTAATTAAAAAATTTTCTCCATATCGATTATGTTAAGTATTTTAACCGAAAATTAAAATCATTTAAACATATCAAACTGGTAACCTAATTTTTCCTCGGCATGTGATACATCATTTGAAAGCTATTTTTAAACGCAATAAAAAAAAAAACGAAAAATTCGATAGGGCTGCCGTAAGAAAAACAAAAGTTACCTTGGATTTCTCGAAAACAAAAGAATATCGAACATTCATTTCTGCACCAAGATATTAGTCTCCAACAAGTGTCCTAATAATATAAAAGTCTAAAGCCTGTCCGACCAAGGATTACTTGGCTACAGCCAAAAAAGAGAAATCACAAAATTTTGTTTTTTTTGGAAAATCCCAAAATCGATTTCAGTTAGCCGTGATTTCTTAACGGATTTGGAATCAGCATATTTAACCGACCTAGTAGCTCTGATGGTTTCCGAGATCGCAATGCTGAGCATCGAATTTGGGACACACGGTATACATATATACAATGTTGGAATCAATTTCATGCAAAACCTGCATTTATTGCGATAAAAAATAACAGAATTAGAGTTTAAATTGCGTCAGAGAGTTGATTGTATGCTGTTTCTTTACCACTAAGCAACTGTCTTTGTCGTCTACCAGTTTTTCTATTATTCCATCACTTTGCTACATTAAATGTAGGTTTTGCATGTAATCTAGTCCAATAGTGTATGTAATATATAGGTTATTTCATAAAAATAATCTCATCTGTATGTTCTATTTAAACATCTAATATTTCTGGATTTAGTGTTACTTCTGCGACTTAGAGATTATGAAAAAATGTCGAGATGACTTTCGAAATTTTGAAATTAACAAAAATGATATGTAAATTGGACCTTTCTGCGCCTCTGTAGCAAAAGATAATAGGTATTTAATTTTAAAAAATTGAGACCATCCCAGGGGACATACCATACATTTTAAAATATCAGGTCGAATATATTAAGCTGCTTACATTACCGTATTTGCACTGCATGACGCATTGCATTTATTAAATAATCCAACAGTACTAACAGCAGAGCTAATGCAAAACATTTGCACAATCGCATTTGCTTGAAATAATAAATTTAGTTGATATATGTAAATTTTATGTAAATAGCCTTAGAAAACATATTTATAAATTAAAATTAAATTGTAACAAGAACGGTTGAATTCCTGGTAGCAAGGTGTGTGGTCTCACAATCCGATGATCGATGAATCAGTACCATTTCTTTTTATTTAAGTAAATTCTCTCTAATAATTGTAATATTTTTATTACAGTGTTTTCCTAAATGACTTGCCAAATTGAATATAATTCTAAAAGCAACATTGTACATAATTTTTACATGGATTTGTTTGAAATTCGCCATAAAAACGATACTGATCAATACTCGGTCGCGCTTGATTAATTTTGAAGGAATTAAAATTATTTCTCATTTAACTCCTTTTCAAACATGAACAAAACTAGTTACTGTTACACTGCTATCCGGATGGGCCTTAATATGGGCACTACTTCCAAACTATGATGCGTACGCGACAATGAAATTAATTAAATCCATATTTTTCAAAATCAAAATGACTACAGAATGTTGGCCTCCCATGTAGAACATGGCAAAATAATGGACCACTATTAGTTCAATGTTGTGAAAAGGTTGGCCCAATATTAAATGTGAACAATTCGCTAGAATGATTCAATATTGACTGAACTATATTCAGATGATATTAAAAAAATACATCGTACGTATATACAACATTGGATTAATATTGGCTCAATATCGTTGACCCAATCTTTTCACGATATTGAGTCAATATTAATCCAATATTGAATATACGGGACCCGTCTCAGTAAAGTTGGCCCACCATTCAGAATATTAAAATATGTCAATTTAAACTTATGCTAATGATAAATTATAAGGCACTCACAATTATTGACCTGTGCTTTATAATTTTTTTTTAAATGGAATACCATGTATATTTTCACGTGAAGCACAAAAATATACGGAGTGTTCCGTTTAAAGGTATGGTTTTTTTTTACATATGAAGGCGATATCTGATAAATAAAAGTTTTGCACACTGGCTAAACACAGCAAACTTTCAGAATATGCAATAAATAAATAATGCTAAATGTGCCTATTGTATGAATGAGAGAGGCGGTAATGTGAAACATTCTTACATTCTATCAAAACGTGCTCCCAATTTTTTATTTTTGACATTTCGTTGTACCGTTCTACCTTTATTTTATTTTGCTCAATACACAAAGGAATCTTCTAATTTCCCTGATAGTCAAAAAAATTGTATCTGCAAGAGTAACTTAGTGATAGTCGTAGTTTGAACGATAAAATTGTTATACGCCGACTCCCTGCGGTTTCAAACAATTTGAAACTTAAAAAAAACTGCTGCTCGAGCCAATCTATAATATGTTCGGTGAAAATTAATACATTTCATCCATTTAAATAAAAATCTAACAACCAGAATTAACAATAGGTCCTTTTTTGCAGCATTAAGTCAAGTTCATGGGGATACACATTGGCGAGTTCGTTAATATTTAAAAAAATAAAACAGGCTCTAGGTTTGAATCGGTGTACTTTATTTGTATCTGCGGCAGCGCCAATATCACCCGAGCTGAGAAGATATTTTTCTTAGTATCGACATACCCATAATGGATGCCTTTGGTATGTCTGAAGCTAGTGGGGCACACACACTTTGCGTCGACGGTGCCACCAATTTGGAGACGATAGGTATGGCTCTACCAGGCACGAAATCAAAATTGTTCCACCCCGAGGACGGTCAAGGTGAACTGTGCATGTACGGAAGACATGTTTTCATGGGATACTTAAACGAAATGGAAAAAACTGCTGAAGCCTTGGATCCAGATGGATGGCTGCATACAGGTGATTTGGGTCGCATAGATGAAAAAGGTTTCGTCTACATCACAGGAAGACTAAAAGAATTGCTCATAACAGCTGGAGGTGAAAATGTACCTCCAGTTCCTATCGAACAGATGGTTAAATATGAACTACCGCATATCAGCAACGCGTTCTTAGTAGGGGATAAAAGAAAATTCCTTTCAATATTGCTCACATTTAAAACACAGGTTGATCCCGATACTGGAGCGCCCCTAGACGAGTTGCTACCTACTGTACAGGACTGGCTGAAACGTTTGGAGTGTCCAGCAACTACGGTTACTGAAATTCTAAAAGGCGGTCCTGATACGAAACTGTTGGACGCTCTTAAAGAGGGAATTGACCGCGTTAACCAACAAGCCACCTCAAATGCTCAAAGGATACAAAAATTAGCCGTTCTTCCTGCTGATTTCTCAATTCCTACAGGAGAACTAGGTAGGTAATATTTTTTAATTCCTATTTGATTTAAATTACGAATAGTGCCAACGCGTATCCACAAAAGTAACTTTAATAGCCGTGTTTCGTACATACCGGGTAATCAAAAGGTCAGTTTCAAAACCATGATCCTGCTCCACGAATTAATCTGTTGTGGGGCACATACATTGCAATTTGTTTACTGTTATTTAACTTTGTTTTGGAACTCGGGTGTGCCAAAAAATCGTAACTTAGTAAGCACACATACGTTAGAAAGACGTTTATAATGTCCAAACACCATTTGAAAAACGTTTCTTTTTTTACGTACAAACAAATGTCGCGGTTGTACACGTTTCAGATAACGAAATTATAAACGTTTAATATTACTATACGTGAAACGATTATGTCAGATATTTTAAAATGTATTGCTAGTGTACGTAACTCCAAAACGTTTTAAAAACGTTTCTGTTCTACCTCAATGGACTATTCAGTTGATATGGACGTTTTATGAACGTTTAAGAGGACAGTTTTAAAAACACTTTAAATAACGTTAATTTAATGTTACAAACAGCCAAAAGGACGGCCAACATTTATCGTGAAAATATAACGTGTTCTTAACGTTACGATAAACCGTTATTTCTCCAACAATAAATGAACGGTTGATTTCGTAACACGAATTATCAACCAGTGACACGTTGAGAATACGTTTTAAAAACGTATGTGTGTTTACGGGGAAATAATATGTTTTAATTTTGGTAAACCACGAGCGGGGTAATAAATGGAAGAAATACATATTGTTTTAATTTAAAAAAAAATGTAACTTTTCTTAAACTGAAATAAAACAACTTAATGTTATTAATCTAAAATTTTATTCACTTGAGAAAATTAGTCTTAAACAAAACCTATAATGATTTCGTCATTATTCCACTAACACAACGCCGGCGGACGATATTTTTGATAAGAGGAGTGACAAATTGCTTACATCATCCCAGGTAAGATGGGGCCGTCATACCGACGTCCTTTTTGGTAGGTATTTATTGGTCGGCGACATCATATCGCTAAAAATTTAAGTCCTTACGACGACATATTTTAGATGTATAGTTCAACAAATGCATATACCACAGCCATCTTTAAAAAAAAATTAAAATTAAACACCACAGGTAATAAAACCCCCCCTTGTATCCCTGAAGGTACCTTGTGTGCGCGAGGGCTACACATTTAGGGACAATGGACACACACCCAATGTCCGAGTATGCTAGGGATTATTTTCTGGTTTACAAAAAAATCCTATCCTCGACCGGGGATCGAACCCGGGACTCCAGGGTGAAAGGTAAATGATCTTACCATTTGACCACGAAGCCACATTTTTGCTACTAAAAAACACAGTGAGATCAGCCACTCTTTCGGAATAGAATAATAATTGTGTTTTCAGCATTATTTCTAACTGTTTACCGCCAGCACGCTACATACACTTTTTTGTTTCCCGATAGGAATTTTTGTGTGGCGGTCGCTTTGAGGAAAAACATTCTTCTTGTTTTCATACGTGTGAACTTGTCCAAAACTACGTCTAGGTCTATATTTTTGACGTACCTATCTGATGGTCAATGTTATAATGGTGAAAGCGGCATTTAAATGATTTTTAATTTTTCAAAATGGTTCGATAGTGAAAATATTTTTGTGAAAATTTCACACCTATATTTCACAAGCTTTAATTTTGTATCGTTACCATGGCAACCATAAAAACTTCCGGAAAATGTTCTCCTGGTACCCTAGGTGGAATTACTCTGGGCATTTTTCTGTGAAATAATGGTGCGAAATTTATAAATTGTCGGTTCTTTTTTTCAGACTAACCACCGTTAGTGGATTAAATTTAATTAAAAACAATAAACTATTCTCATTCTATTTTTAATTGTACCATGCAACTAACATTGGTAAATCGTATGTTATTCTACTAGACGTTTTATATAATATGTAAAAAATCAAACTCAGTAACAAAGACGTAATGGCCGCTTGTTTTCACAGCACAATTACAAGTGATGTTATTCCATGGTCGTCTGATATGTGGCAAAAAATAAACGTTCCGCCAAGCTCAAATTTAATTAAAAAAGAATAATAATTTAGACTATTCGGTAATGTCAGACTGATGCCATTAGTTTTTAATTTTATTTAGATGGCACATTTTCTTACCGAATCCCTCACGTACTTGAATTTATTATCCGAAAATTTTTTCAAGGACTCGAATTTTGTGAAAATTAGTCGAAGACGAGAGGTAATTTTCATATATATGTTTGTAATTGAAGCACTAGGGAGATTACTAGTGAGAATATCGTTCCAAAGTGTTAAGAAAAATTTGAATTCAAAAATATTAATAGCATTCAATAATTCCAAAACGATGGCTCCTATCGAAATTTAGTAAAAGCACATTTTTTATGCGGTTTTTAACATGACCTTTTTTCGTTTTAAATGTTTAAAAAAAATAAGACAAAAGAGTCTATAACTACCCCAGCAAATCATGATATTTAAATAAAAAGTTGACAAAATATGTAACATTATGAAATGCTCCAAATTTAATTTTTGCAACTCAACCCGTTTCAAATTTATTGGCAAATAACTATGCAAATAACCCCTTTAAGGGGTTGTAGCTCCCCTTATGAACAGATTTAAGGCAAATGTTTATATACAAAACAATTTATTTTTTCTATCACCCCCTTGAAGGAAGGTACTTCATTATGGGACACCCTGTATATCGTTTCAAATTTGCTGTGCGTCATTGAAACGTTAAAGAGCATTTGTGTTTCATATTGTATTTGCATCTACTCGTGTCTTGTAGCAGCTTTTGTTTGTTATTTAATTTATTATTGATTATGAGTGACCAAGAAAAACTCAGTTAGTCCTGGGGATGCTAATAAATATAGCTCCTCCCTGGGTACGCCACTGGTTCTTTGGGTATTCTTTCATGACGATTAGAATAAAAACAGACTATACTATGCGTAAATAAGTTATAATAATTTATTTTATAATTACCTGAAAAATCGTGGAGACGTATAAAATGACACGAGAACCTTTGATATATTTCTTTACCTAAAACTGTTGTTTAGTTTAGTTCACAGATGGTGCTGCTTATGCCTGTTCCACTTACAATGACTACCTACATATTTAAATGTACTGAACTAGTTGAACAGTTGAACCACAAATTTAATAGTGATTCTGTGACTAAACTTAATTAGTTAATAGGCAAACATAGAGAGAGATGAGAGATTTATGGTACGATACTGCAGTGTTGCCAAGTCAAAGATTTGTCGTAGATCTGAGTATTTCTATATGCAAATAGGAATTTGGAAGGATAGTAACAAATTATACTATTGATATTTAAATTAACGAATAACGAAATAAGTAAAGATGCAGATACGAGACTTTGTAACTCCTAGAATGTTTTTGTGTTGTATATTTTCTATGAAAATATATTTATTTATTTTTAATAGTATCTAGGAGATTCAAATTTCCCGCTTTCTTTCGAGATTTTGGGATTTAAGGAATTCTAAAGATTTTTCGATTTGGGGATTCTGCAGATGCTGATGTTGGCAACACTGCGCTACTGTGAACTCACAAAATTATTCAGCATACATTTTACAGTCCGATATGTGACGTTTATAATGGTTATTTATATAGTGGTCTAGATTTGTATATTTGACCCCGTCTAAATTCAGTGATAGAAATTAATATCATTGTTGCATAATATCGTGACATCTTATATATGTCATATTAAGCGCAGAAATATTTTAAACGCTTTATTGAAGCAAATGTCATTCACAACTTGTAGTATCCGTGGTCCGTGGTAGCAACCGGACATGATTTTTACGTCATCCATGTGTTTAGATTGTGCCGTTTTGACGTCACATTAGATATCTTCTGTCATTCGCTTTGATCACCTACGTCTGATATAAGACCAATGAGTTACGTCAACATGACGTGTCCTTTTTACCTGGGATCAGTCAGTTTTGTTGACCCGGTATTTGAAAGAATTATATTACTAATACTGTGATGTCAAGTTTGAAGCTTTGAAATCATTTCCTCTGTAGTTGAATTATTGAATTTTTGTTTCAGGCCCTACTTTGAAGGTAAAACGAAGAATTGTGGAGGAAAGATATTCAGATATTATTGAGAAAATGTATACATAAATTTTGTTGTTTTTTTTTTTTGTTTTTATTAGGTAAGGAAAGAATAAAACTCTAAAATTTGTCAAAATAGTCTTTTACTTAAAAAAATAATATAAATAATACCGTCGACAAATATTTAACTTAAGTTGGTTTTTCTTTTAAATAAATAATTGAATGGTATACATATATTCAATATAAACATAATTTACATGGATTCCTTATATGGTAACAAAATGTTAGCTACTGGGGCATGGTTCAGCCTCTGTATTACTATCACTACTGTCCGAGTCTGGTTTGCAACAACGACATTGTTGTTGCTGTTTGTGCTCTTGTTGACGTTTCCGTCGCTCACACTTAGAGGATCTATGACACTTGTTGTTACACTTACTAGGTCTATATACAGGGGCAACTAATTCTACTTTAATATTAGCAGTGGCAGTTACTTTGGTAGTGTATGGGCCACTAGAGCTGGATTCTGGACTACTATATTCTACAGTGACTTGAGGTTCTACAATGATACTCTGATTACAACTTTCTTCAGTTATTGTTGTTAAACTTGGTTCTCTAGTGGCCTTAACAGAAGCATTACGTCTTGAAGGTTTAGAGAAAGAGGTAGGCCTTGTAGGAGGTGGTGGAGGAGAAGGAGGGGGTGGAGTTGATATCCTATCACTGTGCTCTGTAGGTTGAAGTTCAGCCTTGGGCCCTACTAGTGCCAAGAGCAGGGGAAAGAACACTAGAGAGTTTACCATTGAACCACAGACTGATATAAATACAAGGGAAAATAGGTGGTTGTGAATAAACTCAAATTGAGAGGTGGCTAATACTGATGCGCATATCAAAAGTCCCAAATCACCTTTCAGGATTGGTTCTGAATTAACTTCTAGCGACATTTTCATACGTCGTTCGCGATTTCCTAATGCACTCAAAAAACCAGTCAATATTAAAAATATATTTCGGCTTATTATTATAAAATGTAACGCTCCCATTGTACCACTTAAAGCAGTTATATTCAAGAGGCACAACAGTAGCATACACGCCAAGGTGCTAAATAAAGGGCACCACAGTTTGGTCCACTGTACAAGAACACACGCTACTATCGCTGCAGCCAGGAGTGTTAAAAGAAATTGAACGGCTAGCAAACGTTCTAGTAGTAGGAACTGATTAAAATAGGCAAAAATGAGCCCAATGGGATAATTCTTCAATCCTCTATTATTATATTCTTCGGAAATATCTTTTATCTGCTTTAAAGTGCTTATAATGTTGCCGGTATTCTTTAAATTTTTGAGGTAGAAAGGCATCTGAGTATAAACGAGAGGCTGTGATTTAGGAATTTTCAAGTCGAATTCAGCCTTTGAAGTATAGTACTGAAACGGTTTCGGAGTTAAATTGGCTTGCGAACTAGAGTACGATATCTGATCATTGCTATTCCATACAGACAAATAATTATAAAAAGCTTTGGGATCTATAATACCGTTATTTACCAGTCTTTTCTTAAATAATTGACTTTTATCTACTGGAAATTCGACTATACCAGTCTGTGCTAATAATTTAAAAGCTAATACTGCTTTTTCAGTGGCATTTGGAAACCACTTTTCGTTATTTACGCAATTATTATTACGATTATGATCGAATTCCTGCTGGAGGTCTATCAGGAAATCTCTAAAGTTCGCTAACCAAAAATCATTCATATTCAGCCCTCCATTGGAATCCTTAAGTACATAAGGAACATTTGTAAGCGAGGAATGGTATTCATATAAAAGGGGTTGATTAAACGGGTATTCCAGTTCCGTTGTAACTAAATAAAAATTATAAAAACCAAAAAATTTATTTTGGGCTTCTAGATATTTGTACTCTTGAGTATTTTTCGGTAAAAACGTAGATAATCGTACATCAAATTCCAATTTTAGTCCATTGAATACACAAAAAATTATAAGCACCGCATAAGTCAAACACATTACAACTTTTACAAAAGGTTTTAGTAACACAGACGTCAAGTAACGAGTAACGAACCAAGATATAAGGCTTTTCTTTTGTTGGCAAATCAATTCTGCAGTTAGTAAATTCGTTCCATGTTCCTGCAACAAAAGAAAAATACATTAGTTTGTTAGGAGATGATTACTTATTACTTGTTATTCTTATGCTTAACACAATAAAAAGAAATGTGTAGGGCCGTAACGAGGCAATTAGCGGTGGAGCGCCAACCG